GGCTGAATTTATTAAAGAAGGTAGAAAACTTTATGCTTCTATTTATTAAAATAAATTAAAATATATTAGATGCACGTAATCAGTTAGTAAACTATTTGAGAAAATATTCCAAAATCATAGGTGGCGCTGATCGCAGGCGGTAAAATTTGTATTCGAACTGGATAGTAGATATCAATTTGACAGTAGAAAATTAATAAATTGCCAAGTTTTTGTAATTAATTAATGAAAATTTATAGCTGCACAGCAAAGTTGGAATTATAGGCAACATTCTTATAGGATGTTTAATTTAATCATTAATACTTACATGAGCGATAGGTTTTGTATTTTCTGTAGTAAACAAGATTGCTATAGAAAAGTATTTTTCTTACATAATATTATTATTTTGTAATAAATATAAACTAGCATAAGGAAGCGTAAAGAATAAATTCTTTCATCAAGAAACTTTATTTATAATTGTGTATTTACAATGTTTTCATAAGCGAAAAATAGAAACAAAACAAAAAATATTTTTAAAAGAATTATGAAAACTATGGACGGGAAATCGAACCCCGGTCCTCCAGTATATCAATTCTCGATCGTCCATGATTTTACATCATCTCCAACAATTCTCTAGACAATACTTTTTCTACTTTGCAGTACATTTTAATAATTTTACTTACCTCATACTTACCTTGTACTTACCTTCCCTTACTTGCAATTCCTCCCCTTACTTACTTTAATCCCTCTTCATTTAAATATCATTTAAACAGATATTGCCCACTCTCTATTTTCAAATTCCAAAGGGAGCATTGAAAATTTACAAGAGGTAGGAAATATCCTAAACTTTGTGCGCAGCTCTTAGCTTGGTATCGATTCCCAAAAATTATTCTTTGGAAAACGATACCAATTACCAGGTCTCACCACGTGGAGGTGGCTACGCATCGAGACCCGACATGCGCCCTAGTGGCGCAGCCTGCTGGCGCTACCTGTATCAAAGGTACCCTAATCTAACTTGGAGCGAATTAAGTTAAAATGACTCTACTGACACTTTATTATATTTCGTGTCTTACAAAAGGGGTTTCGGTTCGGTATACTGAAACTCTACTGTCGCAACGCTAAGATATTTTCAAGTTCCCATAAAAATAGGGAATGAAATATCAAACACGCGAGCTAATAGAAAATCGCGACGCGCCCGAACGAGTTCGCGATTATTCGAAAGACCGACTAGCCTAGGCGATGTACTCCCGTGTACAGAGATAACTTCATACCTCGGCACCCTCCCGATCGGGCCTAGCTCAATTCCAGTCACTGTCGCACTCGCCAAGACTTACACGTGGACCAAGGATAGTCCCTGAACCAATGAAACTTCTAGTGTCAACAGGAGGGCCCAGCTGGGCGGTTGCCGGCCAAGACAGACACTTCGCATCCCAGCCACACGGGGTAGAACTTAATCATCCCTGTGGTCTAACCGTAGATGGTACTAGTCCGTCAGCCAGCATGTGCCCGAGCCCAAGTCGCGTACGACTTAGGCAGCGGACCGCCCGGTCGAGGTCAGAAGACGCACTGATTCGAGGGGGTCACCATGGAACCCGATGCATGACGAGATTGACAGTGACTGGAAATGAGTGTCGGAGACGAGTCGTGAGGATGGCTTACGAAGCATGTACTTATCGAGTACACGAGAGCACGTCGCGTAGGCTAGTCGGTACTTAAGAACAATCACGACTATCGCGAGAACAATTATGTTCTGATTGCTAAACGAGGGGGATAAGAAAATGATAGAGAATTTATAAATTTCGCACCAAGTTAGGTAGCTTACCTTTGTACAGATAGCGCGCACATGATACTTAGTCTATAGATCTATCTTATAACTGCTTACAACTACTTAGATCTACACGCTCGCATCGCGCGACGTTCATTGATACGTCGCAAAAGAAGTCTTAAGGAACCTAAAAGCTGAAACAGAATATATTATTGTTAACATGTATCTGAAAGGAAAGGGATTAGTACGAGGAAACCGTCAACGTTAATAACCAAATGGAACAAGCAAGCCAACGACGAAACCTGAGCAACATAACTACGAGACAGAAACATTCCAACGGTGAGATATAAACATACCAACAAGGAAGCGCTCGAGTATTATACGAAATACTCGAACGCTCTAACGAAAACAAATGGAGCGGAAGTCGTAAAATTTGTGAAAGGAAAGATTTAGCCAACGATGAGACATAAGTAAACCAACGACGAAGCATTCGAATATTGTACGAAATACTCGAATGCACAAACAATGAAAACTAGAATGGAAGAAATAATATCTGAAAGAAGAAAGATAATTAAAAGCTGAAAGAAAAAATAATTAGTACCTGAAACAAGGAATTATTATTGAATTATTCAAAAGAGTAGACAATGGCCATTGAATAGCCATTGATCAAGCCAACGATGATATACAAATACACCAACGACAAAGCATTCGAATATTGTACAAAATATTCGAATGCATAAACAATGAAATCTAGAATAAAAGAAATAGAATCTGAAAGAAGAAAGATAATTAAAAGCTGAAACAAAAAATAATTAGTACATGAAAGAAAAATATTAACGCGGACCCTCCGAAGTCGAAGCGACAACTGGCTCGAGCCTGCACGCGGGGCCCTTATATAGGGGCGGCCGACCGAAGATCGGCGAAAATTTCCGAACTTTACCGATTCCTTTAAGAGTTACTTTTCCGCTGTAATAACTAATAATTTATTAATTTTCTTGACTTTTATCGTTAATATACTTTGCAAACTATTTGTTATCAATGATTTTAATTTGTTAAATATATTTAACAATAAATTTATTAATTTATTAACTTCTTGTAAGTTCCGAATATATTCTAACACAAATACGTCGTTTGTTAAGTAGTAGGCAATAATTTATTAATTTTTTCACTTTTATTATAAATATACGTTGCGAGCAATTTGTTATTAACAATATTAATTTGTTATAAACAATCAGTGTAATAATTTATGAACTTTATTTATACTTTTATAATATAAATTTCCATGTTGCATTTATATGAAATATATTTATGCTATAAGCAATTTTTTATTAACAATTTTATTTTGTTATTAATATCAAATTTGATAATTTATACATTTTTTACAAACTGTAATTGTATTTGCACTTCCATAAGACTTTGAAAATAGAAGGCATAAGTCAATTTTTAATGTTACTGGTTCACGTTGCTTGTACCGATCTACTAGCATAAATAAGGTAGTTGCAAGAAATTTAATGGGAAACATGAAGGGATATTGTAGAATAGAGAAGTAATGAGCAGAACTAGAAATGCAGTAATTTTCTAAATTCTAATAACTTACACGAACTCATTAAAAATTCGAAATGCTAATGTATCTGTTAAGTATACAATACAATAATTTCTCTAAAGGCATCAGATTATATTAATAATACATACCACAATATAATTACTGTCTTCGTAGTACTACAAGTAAACAATTTTTATATCGCAATTAGTGATAAAAACATTTATTTTTATATTTAAATTTTAATATTTTATATTTCGAGTAAAATTAATTTTTAAAATATTTTACAATTATATTACTAGAATACATTTAAATATTAGGCACAAGATTATATTACTAAAATATGTTACAATATAATTATTCCTTTCTTTATGCTATTACTAATATTAATAATACACAAATAATATTTATCATACTCTACATTATTAGACACTTTAATATTAAAAATTATGATATTAAATATTATTAACATAATATTAAGAAGAATTTATTTATTTAAAAGGATTTTGGAGGACATCGTAAATGATTTATACTACATATGGATAATTAACACTTAGATAACGTGTACTTACTTGGTAAGTCAATAATTGTCGTCAATTTTAAGTCGCACCAATTTCAATATCGAAACTATTATAGTATGGCTCCGATCTTGTTTAGCACCAATTTTATGGAATATTCTTAGAATAATATCAATTCTCCTCGATAATTTTAATAAAAGTCATTGCCGTTATTGATAGATGTTATTATTAGTAGCATTAATGGTACCAATACCAGTATTAAGTTTGTATCTAGACCATGCCAAGAAAAATAGTTATTCGGTTAATTAATTCCCTTTCTATAATTTCATGGCTGTAATTTATTTATATTCCATCTACAAGAAAATACTGTAGTTTCGATATTTCTTTTTATAAGTCAAATACAAAGTTGGAAAAGCAAAAATATTTAGTATTTTTATAAAACTAAATAGAAATGATAGTAGAATGTGTGCAACAAAATAATTTATAAAATATACAATCACGGAGACAGATACTTCTTTACCATAATTAAATGATATTAATTATCTAAAAATAAAAATATCAATTAAATAAAAAAAAATACCGCTCCATGATTTAGTATTCAAATCCCATTATTGATATTTATAACTCGTTATTCAGTTATGAACAAAGACGAGTGATAAACAAAGACAAAAAATGTTAATTTCATGAAATAAAAATACCTTCTACCAAAAAATATTTAAATCCTATTATTAATATTTTCAATTAAATATTCACAAAAATTACAATATCTCGTTATACAGTAACAACATATTCACAATACAGGCATAAGAATTACCTGTTTCAAAATTTATAGATTTCTGTTCGCAAAATTTATAAATTTATAAATTTTGAACATTTAGGTCTCAAGAATTATTTCTACAAAAATTTAAAAATCTAAGACCCAAATATACAAAATGCATTTACATAGCCAACAAATATCAACATACTTCTCACTCGATATTCCTAATAACACTAACCGAAAGCCGAACCAATTCAATTTCTAACAACGAAACAGAAGAAAGCATAGTATCTCAATAATTGGCGATATCATATCTCAATAACCTCGCCGATATCTCGACGACTGATTAATATTCATGTAAGAACGAGATCCACAGGCACGCGCGTATCAATGATAAATTAACGATCAGAGAAGAAGAATGGTGGTCGCGGAAAGGAACGAAAAAGCACGTTGTTTTAAAGAAACGCATGAAACGCGACGTAATTTTCGTTATCACGACTATTTCTGTACGGGCGGAGGTTCGCAGGGAGATTCCTTAGGGTAAGCGTGATCGTAATTGGAGAACAGACATGCAGTATGCTCCGCGACACTAGTTGATTAATACACATTCATAGGTGTTCGAAACATCGGAGACGACATCTTTCAAAGTGCAATGTTCCTCTGAGCAACAATTTGTGGCTACAGGCTTTTCGCCAAATCGATAAAGTTAGAGGTGTCCTGGCGAGCAACCGGTGAATCTTCGCGCTTCCAGCATCCGATTCGAGGTCTTCTATCGATCCGATCGATCCACGTAGGAGACACACGCAGGGACATCGAGGATACTCGATAGATCCTTTCCTAGGACGCTCATTGACTCGGAGAACCTTGCATGATTGGTCCCTGGGCTGGACTGCTAATCAATACTTTGATCACGGGAAAGAGGACCAAGATGACTGGGAGTGAGTAAAAATTGAGGCAATTTTTCTGCCGAAAAGAATTAAATCTAACGACGCGAAGACTGCCAGGTATTATCGTCAATTATCAGGTAAATCGCACGTGTGTGCAGCTTCAGATGAGAGGATAAGGGTCTAGCTTCAAACGTCTCGCGGGATCCCTTTCTCGAAATTCATTTTCTGCCCAGTGAATCGAGTTTATAGAACAACGAAGATGCATTGGGTTATTTGGGTTAAAAATACGACGTGACTTTGGATGCTGAATAAATATATAGGTTCTCTAGATAATGTGTCAAAACGTTGCTTGATCAGCAATGTTGATTGGGTCAAGGAAGAAGCGAAAATACACACGGATGTTGTTGTACATTAAAAATCCCGTTATCTTAATGTTCGGCAATTTCGCGTTGTTGGTTGAAATTTCCACAATGCAGTGTGTGTCATCGTTGCACGTTATCGTTACGCGATATTGTCCAATTTCTTATTGCTTCTCGTTGTCGCGAACGAATCCCTAGGCATCTGTTCACGTAGATGTGACCGAGTCAATGGATTCATTGACTCTTACCAAAGATCGTATCATTTTTTACCTCGAAGTGAGATAACATTTAAAAGTTCTTGTTTATTACTTAGTGGAAAAAGCTGCTTCGTATCTTAGATCCCTGTGTTACGTCTCTTTCGTTCATTACTCCTTTATATCGAGAGAGATAACTCGTAGGAACAGCGATTGGATGCTTGCTCGCAATACGTGGATACGTTCGTTACAGTCGAAACAGAATTTGAGGCTAGTCCGTGAATTTTTTGTTTGATTTGTCTTCGCGTTGCATTGTATTGCGTTGTCAGATGATAGCGAGAATTAGTCCGAATACGATTCTCCTGGAGATATTTACAGAAGAGTTTAGGGGTTTAGCAAAATGCTTGATGAGATTAATATCCGAGAACTCTCGCAAACTAAAATTGATGTCACGCACATGAGTCCTGTGTGCCTCGACAGATCGTGGATTTACAAGTTTGAATGTTCGAAGCAACGAATGTTGGGTTTTGAGTACATCAGAGACTCGTTTTACATTTTTTAACACTCGCTTTTACCTGTTGTTTCAATCTGTTTTGAAACTTTGCTTTGTTCACATTTATATAATTTTTTGAATACACTTTGCTTATTTTGACATTCGAAAATGTGATATTCGAATACAGTTCAACTACAGTATTTTAAATTGCTTTTTCTATCGTTTGCTTTAGCTTTAAAAGGAGTCCCAGGTGTACTTTGTACATAAAAATTGAAAAATTCGCTTCTTAATCTTTCTGCTTTTTCTCTACTTTCGAAAATGGAGCATGTTTTTAAATCATAATCGAAATATTAAGAATCTGAATGATATTCTAGTTTAGAACGTGTAAAAGAACTGTCAGAGAAATTATCAAATTAATTCGTAATTACGAATAATTCAGAATACTCGTATCACGCGATACTAGACGTAAGATGATCTGTAAAAATTCAATCTTGAGAAACTAGTATTAATTCCAATGAATTAATCATATAATAACGTCTAACGATTGAATTACATTAGAAATGGATTTGTACGAAGAAAGTATTACGTTTGATTCGATACATTCAAGAAAAAGCAGTGCTATCATGCCGGGACGTGCTTTGGTACGTCGCCTTCTGCGGTTTCGCCATCAACTATATGCTGAGGATGAACTTGAATCTGACCATAGTAGCTATGGTAGTGCCACATCCAATGGTGGTTACAACTGCAGAATGCAACGATAATGCACGGTCTTACAACGGCACACATAAAATTGGATTCACTACGTCAAGTTCAAACCGTGTTAAGGTAGGTACAATTTTGTACGTTTCTATGTATACCAGTCGATGCAATTGTGACGTAACAATTTTTGTTGTAATAATTGTATCGTACAATAAGATGTATGAATGCATATCTAGCGTTGCATTTCAGTCTTTACTTAATATCGATATTTTTACAAACGATTAAAAAATAACTACTACGTGTTCTTTAATACCTTTTCAACAGTGGAACAATGTAAATAGTGTAACAACTTATCTTGATATAAAAATATAATTTCACTAGTAGTACTATTAATGAAAACGACGAACAAAGATTTTATAATATTCTATGATAGTATACAATCCTGACTTAATACAATATTAATTAAATATTAATATAATCCTGTATTACTATTATATAATAATATATACATTACTGCAACTATGCTATATATAAAATATAATACTATGTTCTACTATATTATAATAATGTAATATTATTCTATTCATCTATTATGCCATAAAAATTACATAATGCTATACTATTGCAACAATGCTATATTCCATAATAATACATGCTATATTTACTACCGTAGCAATATATATTATACTTCCATACAACTCAAGAACAAGTTACTCGTGAACACGTGATTAACTCAAACTAAATGCATTCTTCGTTTAATCAGCAAGTTATAAAATTGCAATGAAACTTTTTTTTAAGTACATTCGATTTCGCTTCTTGTGATCATATAAACAATTTGTAATTCTATATAAACAATTCGTAAATATATATAAACAACGTAAATATATCAACCGCGATAAATACGAATTACAATGATAAGTATATTAACGATATCGTTCGGTTTCAATCTTGTTCTCAGTACACCGACCGATTTGCTTGGTCCGAGTACCAGCAAGGCTTAGTTCTAGGAGCTTACTACTGGCTACATTGGACAACGCAACTTCCTGGTGGGCTTTTAGCAAGACGTTACGGGACGAAACTAGTTTACGGCTTAGGAAACATCATAACAGCGATGCTTGGCTTCCTCATTCCGTTTATGACACGTTATCATATTTACGGTCTTATATTCCTAAGAGTTCTCCAGGGGATGGCGTCCGTAAGTCAATAGAGGCATTAAATCTGGATGAAACGTTAATGCATTATAATTAAGCGTTTAGACACTCGGTGACGATTATTGGCAGAAATATTCCAAGTCGATTCCTGATTATCACACTTTTTCGACATAATTATCCACTTTCTTTCGATTAAATCTCGTCTTTGTCGGGCATATTGATCATTATTCAAATAATCTTCCACATGATAATACTTTCTTCGGTCCATAGTAAATTTCTAGCTGCACTTCATACGTACATGTTAGTTTTCCTTTTCTAATAACAAATTGATAATAACAAATAATAAGAAAATATAATTATTTAGGGCGTTGTGTGGCCTTCCATGCACAATATGACTGCAAAATGGATTCCTTTGAATGAGAGGAGCAGATTTATCAGTGCATATTTGGGTAAAGTACCTGTACTTTATAAAGTATTGTAGGGATAGAGTGGCTGTTAAATAATGTAAAACTATTTATTAACCATAAAATAATAATATACAATGTGCGGTGACGGTAAAGACTACGAATATAGATATCTATCAACTAAACTTTTACGACTACAACTAATAACACGATTATAACTAACAACACAATTACAACTAACAACACGAATACAACTAACAATACAATTCTTCACAACTCTCTCTCTCTAATAATTCTACTACGAATTCTAACATACTACAGCGTACTACGACATACTACATACCATACTGCATCCCTATTTAAAACCATACATTCTATCCTCTTTCATAGCTATTCTCTCTTTCCCAATCACACTTTCCCACGCACTCCTTGCAATCTTACCCTCAGGGTCACGTAGCCCAAACACTCAAACGCATTCCTAAAGACACTCTTCACTTTCATCCGATACATTCATAAACATCCCGCCCACACGATCCTAGCGCACGATCATTCGTCCTTTCGCACGCACTCTAGATAACATGCTCGACCCACTCATCCTGCGATACCACAGTATATACTTATACGTGTCATATTGTCACATACAGGGTGGACCATCTAACTTGATCACATGAATTATTTCCGATTTTTTAATTGTTAGAGAACTAATAAAATATTAGTTTGCCGTAAATGGTAGGACGTGAATATGTCTCCAAGATTGCGAGACTTGATTAATTGGTTAAATTAATTACGCGTTAAAAGGCAGAAAAAGATGAGCTTACTAATAATGAAAACGATTAAAGTGGTCTACCCTGTACATACGAGTCAAGAATATAAAATAAAGCTCTTTTGTTTTAGGAGAAATTTCGGTTTAGAGAAAATAGAGTTTTAAATTTGACATGTTCATTGATATTGTTATTTGTTAATCAATTTCTGAATATGTCACTTTTCAGGTAGTTCTGTGGGTACAGCTATAACTTATCCACTTTGTGCAGCAATTAGTGACACACTCGGTTGGGGTGCAGCCTTTTATGTAACTTCGTCACTCGGTGTCATTTGGTAATAACAATGAGCACACTGAAAATAATATTCTTAATCATTACTCGGAACTTTAAATCAAATTTTGAATATACTTCAAATATATAAGGGGCCAGAAATATTTAATAATTCGTTGTTCGTTTTATTTTATTTAAAATGTCTATAAAATATTTTCGTATAATTGTAAAATAAATTGAAAGTTATATTCTCGAAAATAACTTCGTAGGTTTTGCTTCTGGCTGTTTCTCATATACGACTCACCTCAGGATCATCCTCGAATATCCGACGAAGAGAAAAATTATATTCTACAGAACCTCGCTAGTACAGTCGATGATGAACAGATTGATATACCTTGGAGATCCATATTGACATCTGGTCAAGTTTGGATGACGATTATGTCGCATTGGGGTGGAGGTTGGGGTTTTCTCACCCTGATCACTCAAGCACCGACTTATTTCAACTTCATTCACGGATGGAATATCAAAGCAGTAGGAAACCTGCAAAATATAATTTCCAAATTTTTTTAACTTCTTTTACTTTTAGAAAAATCCATGTAGTTTATTTTGACGTTTATTTTTGATCGATATAGTTAATTACAGTAATTACGAATTCGATCATTTTCTGAGTAAATTGATATCGCGAAAACAATGTTTCCTTGCTATTTAAATTTAATTAAAATTAATTCCAACTTTCATTAATATTTAATTTAAGTTAATTTCAACTTTGATTCAAATTTAATTAAAATTAATTGAACTTTTATTTAAATTTAATTTAAGTTAATTACAATTTGCAGACTGGGATGATTTCCGGAGTCCCACACTTAATAAGAATGATCTTCTCGTACTACTACTCGATGTTAAGTGACTGGCTGGTACGTACCAAGAAAATGAGCTTAACCAACGTTAGAAAATTGGCCACATTCATGGCCACCAGTGTACAAGGGGCCTTCATATTGCTCCTGGGCTACAGCGGATGTCATCCAACGCTCGCGATAATTTTCATGATGGCCGGGACAATCACGAATGGTGCGATTTCCGCCGGCACATTAGCGAGTTTCATTGATCTCAGCCCAAATTACGCTAGTCTTCTCCTTGGACTTTGCGGAATGGTGGTAATTGGCTGTGGATTCATTTCACCGCTCGTAGTTGGCATTTTGACGGAAAATAACGTAAGTATAAGTATAAATAATTGCCTAATAGTCATCTTAAAGTAGTCATCGTCCACTTCCATGTGACTATGACACGAGATAGTCACTGAAAAATAAAATCTACATAAAAAATATAGAAATAGGATGCAAATTGATCCCAAATTTTTGAGAGAAAATATTAATAAATATTTAAGAGGAGTTTATCTGTCGCTTTGATGTTATAAGATCAGGTAATGGACACCTTAAAATTTAAATCAAGAAATATAAAACGTCACGAAAAAGAGAAACAAGATCATAGTATCAGATACTGAAACCGAAATTCTCATTGGCTTTACGAATTTATTTATTTTGCTACTGAATTAAATAAAGAGTGCTAATTAGCTAGAACTAATAATAAGTTAAGAATGAATTTTTGACTCTATTCTCTTTTCGTCGAACACATTGGATCATCTGTTAATGCAGAAAACTTCCATTTTATCAGCTCCTGTTATTTAATTCAATTTAATAAAAACAATTAGGCAATTAGATGACTAGAAAAGGAAATTATTTTGAAATTCTTAAACGAATTATGTTATCTTTTTTCAGCAAACTATATCGCAATGGCGATTAGTTTTCATTATAGCTGCTGTTAACTCTATAGTTGGGAGCATCATGTTTCTGGCTTTTGGAACATCCGAGGAGCAACCGTGGAATACATATGGTAAGTTAAAGAAAGAGAACGATCAAGAGATGCAGAGACTAACAGCGACGCCATTTGTAAAATGCGAGGGAAACAAGAAAGTGGATGGAATGAATAAAAATAGAATGGTTATGAACGAATAAGAGAAATTCGCATAATTCGTCTGTTGTTTATAAAATGAAAGAAAATACGACACATGGTCCGATTTTATAAAGTTCACCCCGGTTTCTCGTTATTTGCAGCTGCTAACTGAAAGAGTTTTTATCAGAAGACAAAATCCGAGAAACAAAGAAAAGGATAATGTATCGATTCAAATTCAGTTCCTCTCAATTCTTACAAAATTCTTCAAAGACTGATGAAATATGCATACAAATTATTTTGTATTATTCTCGACGAATTACTTTTTCTTTTATTTGGGAACATCTAAATTATACAATTGGATATATGTAAATTATATATTATATTATATAATAATTTGTAGAATGATTATATTATATTAACACGTTGACTGCTACGTTGACTATCCATAACTGGAGATTGTCTACCCAATGGAACTATGATGGTTATCAACGATCAGAGTACCACAATTGTTTAGAATAATTAAAATAAAATGAATATGACAAAAAATTTTGGATAATATAATAAATAACTATGATGGAATAAAAAGTACACTATTCGATAACGAAAGATTTTAATTATAACATATTTGTTATTATTTTATAATTGTAAGCTTGAAATAATGAAAATCCTGCAATATTATGGTGCACTGAGACCATCGTGTAAAACTTGCGTACAATCAAGGTGTTAATAAAATTTGTAATCGTCTGCACTTCGCTGGTATCACTGCAGAGGCATTGATAATCTGTCTCGATAATCTAAAAAGATTTCCAAAGTGCAAAGGATTAAAAGTATCCTTATCTCAAGAAAATATTAATGAAACACTTTATAGTTGAAAATCGTCAAATATAAAAAATAATGAGAATTTAGATTAAATGCCATGATCTATGAAAGAAGTTTGGCATGAAGCATAAAAATACATTGTCCAACCAGATTATATTTTATTGTCATAACACACAACTATACACGTATATTGCACGTAAATTGAGATCCTTAATATAAAATATGGAATAAAATACGTAGAAAAGAAAAAGGCAAACGACAATAGATAATGTAAAATCATTGCTCGATAAACGATACAAAATACATTATTATTATGCATTTTACATAACTCGACTGCTCGATATTGCTATACCAAGCATAATTTTGCGCGTCATTAAACGACCAAGCTTGTAAAATTATTACATCTTCATTTTTAATAACAGACTAATTACATTAAGTGTAAATTTAAGTTAAGGATGTACGAAATTCTATTTGAATTAAATAATAATTGAAATTAACATCTAGAATAAAAAGTCATTAAGTATTAAAATTATTCTGTGATCTAGATCCAGAAGAATTTTGTTGATTAAAATGCCGAATCAGGGATTTATCGTGACAAATATAAAAGCGGCAATTATTAGAAAACTAAATAGCTTAACTACAAGTATAAATTGTTGTGATTTATGAACGTAAATTATCCGACTTACTATCAATTTTTCACGACATGAAAGCAACTGGGTCCTTTGTTACATAAAATTTGCAAGCAAAAGAAGAAATATGAAATGTCAAGAATCAACTAATAATTGCGAATTCGAGAAAATCGTTTTCAGGTTTCAGTAATTACGATACTCATCGATATATTCGATGGTCATATTCGAATCAAACTAAAAATGCCGGCATTAATACTAATTATCGAATCGCAGTCGATATGAACAAATGTCGAATGGACACGAGTATGGTAATAAACATAGGAACAATGGACCTCTATTTATTGAAACGATTTTTACGACGATAAAATGTCAGAGATCTTATTACATGGAATTCATACAACGAGAAATTTTCACTCGCCTAATCTACAAATGATCGCCAATTATATACGCAAAAGTACTATTAAAAATACAATTAAGAATACAAAATGCACTTTCTGTAGTGTTGTATTACAAAGAAACGTAAATTACATGGTGTGTTCATTAAGTACTTGTATCAAAGTCTTTAAAAAAATTATTTGTCACTCCTAATGCATAATCTTATTACTCTGACGTAATATATAAATCGTATCATCGATCATTCGACATAAATCGTCGAAGAAATTTCTTTTAAATTATTCAGTCGATAGAAACAATCGATTATTTTGTACATCGTCATTAATTGCAACTAGAAAATTTCATTACTTGATAAACACATCATGCGTGACACTTTCACGTATAATCACAAAATTGTCATCGCCACATTCGGTAGACAAACAAATTGTAGCAAGAAATGTTTGTAATAAACGAAAATATACGATGATGCTTGGTTCTTTATTTTCAGAAATTACTACTTATATTCGACTTTCTTTAAGATAGTGATTCCCAAATCTTTCTCGAGTCACGATCCCTGTTTACGCAAATAAATAATTTGCGACTAGTTTACGTAAAAGGATGATTCTAGCGAAATAAGAAAACACATTACAAATAGATTACACAGAAAATAATTCTAATTCTTCGTAGAAGACCATTAATCGATTTCATTAATCAATAACCGCTGATGTAAATTCACGTTGTTTGTGATCCTCGTGATTTAACAGAAATTTGATATTCTAAAACAAATTTTATGATTATCATTCTTGTCCGGACAGAAACTAGTGACAACTCGAAAAACACTTTGCGATCCACTTAGGGGCCGTGATTCACGATTTGGGAATTCGGAATCTAAAAAGATTTCAGGCGTTTCACTCCCCCATTTCGGTTTTACATACCTCTTTAACGATCTATTTTGTAATAAAATCAAATGCCACGGAACCGATTTATTTTATACTATGGCCCTCTCCACGTATATTCTTACTTCACGCAGAAAAGCCCAGATATTATCACAGTTTCTCTTCCGCGGTGAAGTAACTTACAATTAGATACAACGTTCTGCCTGCTTTTCCCCTGTAGATGTTTACGAATTCTAGCAAGACGCTACTGGCCATGGGAGCAACCAGAATATTCGTCGAATAATTCGAGAAAAGGATCACTTTTTGCAAAAAAAATCGAAATGAATAACGTACTTTCAATTTTCCTATATTCCACATTTTGGTAAGTAATGTGACATTTGTATAAATCAAACGTAAATCGACATAAATATAAATAGAATAGTCTAATTAAGAAAAATTCAATTGTAAAATTTTCTTTAAAAAAAAAAAGAAAGAAATAGGAATATTGGTTTTTATTCTTCGAATTATTCTTCTTTATATATATATCTATATCAACAAGATAAACTATATATCTTAATACGAAATAATTCGGAAAAAAAATTGAACTTATGGAGTATAGAAAAAAATAATAACTTTTACGAAGAAAATGTGCTTAGATTGACAAATTCATCAGCTGAGAAAAAATGTCAAATAAAGGCTAATTAAATAAATATAAAATCATCCTTTCTTAAAAAATAGATATATCCTATCTTTTTATGAAAGTAGATGCAACCCGTATACCATAGTTGAACTAACTTCAAATAGGATATCATCAAAATTGTCAAATTATGTCGACTCGTTGAAATTTCCATCGAACTCTATTAATTTACACATTTTGACTTTCGCAGCTTAACATTTTAAACAAAATTCTAAAGCCTCTTTCTCTTCAAAATTTGGTCCATCACTCCTCGATATAATCAGTGTACAGCTGTTCAAGAACAAATCCGATCACATTATAAAAAAAATCACGAATTATTAAACATCACGAAAAGATTTTGGTAGCACCCATTTTGACCACATCGAACACATTCGTTTGCGCTAAGACGATACCTAAAACTCACAATCAGATTCGAAGGTCTCACTTAAACACGTTGACGATTAATCGTTTGGCCGAAAGACTACTCAAATACAGGATCGAAGGATCGATTTTTTTTTTCATTTTTCGAAACTTTTGGGCTCCCTTTAACTAATGCTAAACAGCATTCAAGTACATTTGCCAGTCGTTGAACTGGGATCGTAAAATCGTGCTAACACGAAACGGCGTAAAATGATCGAGAAAGTTGCTGCAGCATAGCGATCGAGAAGAGATCCTAATAATCGAAATCGCTCGTTTAGAACGGACAAAATCGAAATCCATTGCAACTGTATGTTCATTACGGATGCTAATAAATTGCTTTTAAATATTTTAAATATGCATATAATTAAACATGCACAGGGCGTCCGATTTAAGTAGAACATCTGAATTTCTTCCGTTACTATGATAATGACCTTGAAATATCTTTCTAGATGTCCTTGATAAAATTTTTGGCCAAACACGATAATATTAAAAATTAACTTTTTAGATGTAGAATTATATAATATAAGCATAAAACGGGGTGTTAAACCGACTTGATATAAAGTAAAATAAAAAAAAAAAAAAAAAAAATAGGGAGAAGAATAATATAGATTTCTGTTTATTATCAAGGAGAAAATAATAGAGTTTGGGCAAGAACTTTCTACCAGAGTTAGTATCATCAGGTATACGTCTTGAACTGTTTAAACTCCCTTTAGACATTTTTCTATACCTCGGAATTGTAACGGAAATAATTTACATGCTCGATTTAAATGGCTCACTCTGTATAATAATAATATCAACTAAGTGGACGTAGATGCATAATATAATATATATAAATGTGTATATGCGTGCGCAATAGTAATTGCCACTTAAAAGCTACGTATAAATAGACGGAAAAACACAATAGTGCGACTAGCGTTGAAAGCGCGTAATACTAACGTAAATATACATATGTAAATACATACGATAGTTTGGAAGCTCGAGGCCTGTAAAACCTCGCTTAAACACAATAACAAAGTTTCGTTCGTTTCGTACATAATATTTAGGCCTTACGTAGGAATCTGTATCATCAGGTAAATCGAATTCAAAGTTTCACCACGTAATAGAATTCACGATTTAAATATTATATTATATATTATATATTAAATATTTTAAATATGTGTATTTCTATACGTATTTGCATATATTTATAATAATATATGTGTGTGTCTGTGGGTATGTGTGCGTGTGTGGGTGTGTGCGCGCACGCGCGCGCGCGTGTGTGTGTGTATATATATATATACACATTTATGATAGTTACTTTATATTTCATAGAATCTTTTTAAAAAATGTGCTTCTACGCAACAAGTGATTCTTTTCATTGAATAAATTGATCTGAACTTCTCCCATCGTTAGACATCTTTTAACTCGTTTTTTTTCTTTCCCTCTTTCTTTGTTTGCACATCGATGTGTGTCTGAAGAAATGTAAATTAGTATTTACGTAAGGAAAGAAAAAGTTAAATATTTCAGAATGATTATGTTTCGCAACATACATACAGTTGGTTTGAAAGTACAGAATAAATAAATAAATAAATAGAGACTTTTGATTATCGGTTAAGTGCCGCAATCGGGGACACGTTAGAAATCCGACGATCGTCTCAATGATGATAGAATTTGAGAATTTTCCTGCTATCGACGATACGTGTGTGTACTTAAATGTGTACGTACTGCTACTTTCCTACCTCTTTAGATTTATGCTCAAATTGGATATTTAAACGTTACTTAAATATAAAGTTCTCGTATGCTACCCTGTGCTTTAGAATCTATAAAGATATTGGAAATGCGAGGAAGTTACATTTAATGTTGTTAACAAAGCTTACAGATATTATCGAATTCTTTTTAAAACGATTCTCAAATATTTGAATATTCGCATTAGAATTTCAAAGAGGCAATTCATTAATGCTGGCGTATCGTGTAGACGACGGAGACATTAATCTAAAAGACAAACGAATGAAGCTTTCATGAAAAGAAAAACTTATAATGTTATCCGATATGTTTGTATGTATTAAAGCAATTAGATTTTTTTTTTTAGTAATGACAAATTAAATGCCTCAATTTTACATTAGATGAAGTCATAAAAATATCTTGTACTCGTTTATCCTTTAGAGACATCTCCCTTATTTCTGCACCAGCCAAATATACTGAACACATTGGCACTTTAATTAATGTTAATTAATTGTACAGTTCTTCCTAATATATGTATTTGGTGCGTATACTATCGTCCAAATGTTTAATCGCACTTATGGAAGCAATAATTACGCGAAAAACTGAAACTATCAATATTCAAAATATGTTACACTTATGCTATTAGAAAAATATTTAATTCGTAGTAAATCATAATAAATTGATGGATAAATAAATTCGTTAAAGTAGCATAAATGATTTAGATTATTGATTTCAGCTAATCCAATACAATGACTATTTCTACTATTTAACATAGATATAAGAGACTTTGGCAATGTAATAGAATTGATAAAAACAAAGGAAAATAGATGAAAATGCATAAACTAATCTGAGGAAAAAGAATATGAAACGGCATATTACACAACTAAAATTGGAAAAAGCAAAGAAACTTAGAAATAAGAAATAAAAATATTACTTAAATTAATAATCATAATAATTGTGAAATCATTAAATAATTGTACATATAATGATCGTAAAATCATTGTGTAATTGCTTTGATTAGCGATAATAGCTTTGAAGCAATATATCTGAAATAAACTTGTAAATTATAAAAATTTTATAAACTACCTAGCAAATAGTTTCTCCATTTCTTTTCTGTTTTTTAACTTTTCATCTATCTTTTTAGTTTCCTATTGGAAGATTCTCTTTTTTTATTAAATAGTAATTATATAAAGTGATAATAAAAATAAAAACCTCTAAATATCTAGACAATATGTCCCTTTTTATTATCTGACACATGTTCCTATTTATATTCATCGATAATTTGATTCTACCAGATTATATGACTAAAGCTGAACTATTACAAAGAAGAAGCAATTAAGTTAAATCTGTAGAATGAAATAGGAACAACAAATAATCACAACCATCTATAGCAAGTCGATTATTATTTCAAGATATATAAATGATCGGCCTGATAAATAAATGTGCATAAAATATATGAAAAATGACATATATCTTTAGATATGTTATAAAAAAAATAAACTATGAAGTTGTAACAAATTTTAAACATGTTTTAACAACGATAAAAATATTTTTACAACATATGTGGGAAGAAAATTATTCATGTTGGAAGAACAGCCATTACTAAAAATGTTATGATTTTTGCTACAATATATATTGGAAATAAAATTCTGTTTTTGTTAATAGATTCTACTTGGCATTGCTAAATATTCTGACAGACATCTTTTCTTTGTATTATATATGTGATACCTATGTAATACAGATACCATTTATGTAAAAACTCAAATATCTTTAATTGAGCCTATAACAAGAATCTTAAAGAGAAGTATGAAAATACAAATGTATAACTTGTAAATATCGAAGTAGTGAAACATAGTTAATATAATAATAGCAAAATAATAAAAACGTATGAAATGTATACGTGTAAAATATGCGCTATAAAAGTAAATATAATGCGTTTTTTACGGAGAAATTTTTTTGAAAAAGAAAAAAAAAAAATGATTTTGCATTACCACAGTTAAAGAAAGCAGTTACAGAACCTACTTTTAGTGTTTTTATAATACATACATTATATATTCAAATAAACAAATTATGTCAAAGTTTAGAAAACAAGCTGAAATTTGTCGAAACTGATACTTTATGGCACTTATATGTATAACAAACAAAATAAACAAAATGTATAAATAAATAACAATCTATATTCATTTGAAATTCATACATCTCATCATAACATTTTAAAAATTAAATTCTTCGTAATTACGATTGAATCTTTAATATTCTTTGCAGTACGATTAAACTTTTGGACGGCATTATTTATTTATATTTCTTTTTTTATCAATTTAAACGTTGCGGTTGTATTTATTACACGCTCCATGGATAAATTGGACAAATTTGTTCGAGAAACGATAATATACTCTGACAAATATGCAATATTTACTATGACAATTTTTTTAACAATCATTTGATTTTGTTTAGATAAATACTGCCAAATGTACTTTCTGCCTTTAATCTCAGGTATCGAATTCTACATATAAATTATTTTTTTGACTATATTGAGGCTTTATTTAAAGCTTTCCATGGTTCTCATGGTACCCTCTTTATTTCGGATCCTGTCCGCTAATATTTAATATTTGATAGCCTCATTGCTGTAATAACTTTTAAATTACGTACGTATTTCAAAAGTATTTCTTCATTTTATTTAATTCTTTTATCATGCAAAAAATTTAAAAACAATTGTGTGTCCAAAAGGATGAAAATGGCACCAGTCTTAAAATTACTGAACCGATTTCTCTTGTATGCTAATTTCTCGATATTGTACTTAAATATAAAGAACAATAAACGAGATATGAAAAATATAAAGCGTATACGAATAATTTTATAAAACCATATATCAATATTCCATAAAATCATATCAAATTGATATTAGAATAAGTTAGAAAATGAATAAGTGTAGCAAATCGATATAGTAAATATTAGATCATTAAATAACATCGAAAAGTTATGGTTTTAGAAATAGAAATAGTAACATGAGTTATGCAACTAGTCGTGTTGAAATAAGTTTTAAAAACGAGTTAGCATTTTTATCCATCAGATACTTCATCTGTATGCAATTTAGAAATTATTCTTGATTTCTACACTAAAAGTCATTCGTACTAACTATGCTTTCCTTAATTAATTAAAATGCACTTAGTGCATCTTATTTTCTGATTACCGTAAGGTTTGATTGCGATCTTTTTTTTTCTCCCGATTAAAAGATAAATGATTGATGCGTGTCGCATTAGATGCGACTTAAAATATAAGAGAAAGAAAACTTAACATGTGTTATCCATTAAGTAATTATGGATTATGCAATTTGTGCGCTTCCTTATATTAAGTGCGCCAATTGAAACTACGATTGTTTTCAATTAATGAAAATAATTGGTCCACCTTATAGAGAAAAATTCACGAAATACAAAATACAAAATAATGATACCTTTACCAACTATCGCATAAAATACCATGCGAAATAAAATAAAGTGAATGTCAAAGGTATTGCATTAATTACACGTTAGTAGGTGGATCCATAGCGCAAATGATAGATTTCATTACACTAGCAGCAGCTAAAGACGCGTAAGGCTGCCATTCCTTTATACGAGAACCATCTTTATAATCTGAAATACCTCGAATAACGGCAAAACTTTCACGACAATTACCCAAAATACTTTCAACTACAGCATCCATTTCTGCATCAAATGCGAGAGCTCCAAAACGAGCTGCAAATTTCTGTCTAAGTTGATCATCCCGCGCAATATGTCTCCCAGATGCTACAGGTGCTAAATGAATTCGTGGACAACCATTTGTTCTGAAACACCAAAATATTATTTTTGTAGAATTAATGGAATGAAAATAATCTTTATAATATGTCATATGATTATTTATAATTTACGAAAATAATATATCTATCAAAAAACATGTATTAAACAACAATAACCTTTTATATGTCGCATCTAAAGGTGCGATAGGATGTGCAACTTCAATGACGTCCCTCTCACCAATAGCCATGTATAACTTATCAGACTCCGGCGGTGGTGGTTTAAAATCATGCTCCGTTTGATTAATTAAAATATTTAAACCTTCCTTCAGGTACGTTTGCCATGGAGGATTTATTTCATTCTCCGACTAGGATCATCAAGATTATTAATAAATATTCCAAATTCTTATTGCAAACTTAAGTGTAACAGCCTACCTGATCTTTAAGATTAACAGCAATTTCTTGAAGACATAAATTTGGTGGACAATACTCTTTGGTTTCAAAATGATAATCACCAGTTTCATTTGTCTTTGCACTTTCACAATAAATATATATATACTTCTTATTAAGAGGAGTAGGATGGGATACAACCACATCACCAAGTCGTACATGCTTGTTATAATCTGTATAATGTGGTACACCACCTCCAATTCCAATTAAGAAAACAAAATCAACTTTTTGGAATGTACCTACAAAGGGTGAAAAATATTTAAATATACAATTTACATGTACATTTATCAATTATAAAGTAAGCAAACAGTATAAATGCTACCTAATAATCTGGTGGTTGTATTTCCTGCTGCAGTCATTGCTTCTCTTGTATGACCTACAGTTGGCAGTTTTGTGCAAACAATTCTATGTGCACCAATATTACCTAATGTGTAAACATTTGACTCACCTATAACAGAAACAATTATGTCTTGCATTAAAAGGATCTCCTACTATTAGTATTTCTGAAATTTGTGTATTATACATGTGCACTGTGCTATTATTAAAAGACTGGTATTAAATCTGTGTTCTTTGTGACTAGATTAATTAAAAATAATTCATTCCATACAGATGCAAATGTGTTTAGAACCTATTACTAGATATATAAATAAAATAATCCATTACATTTATTAATATATTAAATAATTTCTTTAATTTAACGAAGTAATAAATAACTATTTCAGTACATTCACATTTTGTATAAAAAGTATAGTTATAAATCATAAAATTACTATCATTTTTATCAATTTTATTCCTAAGGACTCTTTCAAAGAAGAGTAAAGTCACAATAAATAACTTAACATTTTGTTATTTATACGTTTATAAATCTTCGTACCTAATCAATGAATATATGTGTATATAAATATAATAATGATTAAATTATAATAATTATAATAATGATTAAAAATATACCATATATTGTTGTATATTAATTAATAAATTAATTGAATGTTATAATAATAAATACGAAAATTAAAGGATCATGTTAAAGGTAACAAAGAATATAATTTTATTTCTTAAATATTAATTAATTATTCACATTAAAAAGAAAAATAATAATTATAAAAGTTAATACCAGTCTTGAGTAGAAGGAAATAAAATAATATACCAATATCTTTCACCAAACAACATAAAATAACACATAAACAAAAAGTACATGAACAAAAGTAATAATTTGTGATGATGTTGAACCATGCCCATTTAATATGTGTGCAATAGATATAACTTAATTTGCTAATATTGCTGAAAGAGTAAATATCTGAAGATGAAAACATGATACATGGAATAATATCCCAATTGAATTCCATTGCAACAAAACAATGTATTGTTTTTGCCATAGACGAAATAAATAATCTTAAATATCTTAAATAATATACATTTTTCATAGCACAGTGGCTCTGCGACGTTTCTTGAACACAAGCAATTGGCAAGCTATAACGTTAAACGACATTAAAATCAAAAAAGAAACTATATTACAAACTACTTTACCAAAACGACATGTCACTCGCGGTACTCCATCTGTTGCATCAGGTGAGCTTGCCGTACCTAAAGTTTCATGCGTAGTAAAACATATATACGGAGTACATTTTGTACTGTTACCGTCAATTTACACATAATATAATAAATATGAATACTTCTGTAACTAATTAATGTCTATTAACTAATATAAACTTTTTCATATGAAAATAAAATAATAAAAATTGTGACATCATCGTATGACTTAAATTAAAATTATTTTTAATTGTAGTAACATCATTTACTTTTATTTTAAAATAGAAGCAGCAACCTACATATTTAAAGAGATTAACATACCATATTATTATTTTATATTCCTTCTATTAGATAATCAATGAAGATTAAGTCATAAAAACAATATGAAAAATAACTCTGAAATAATAAATAAAATGTATCTTACCGACAGTAGTATAGCGAACAAATGTTTCCTTGTTTTCAATCATTGAATCAACTGCTAACTTTTCACAATATTGTGCAGTGATAATTGCTATAGTAGGTTGTTTTGCACTAGCCATTGTTGGCATTTGTTTTACAACCTATAACAGATAAAATAATTTTTCACATAAAGTAGTCAATACTTACTATGTATAATAAATAATTATGCACAAAGTGTATACAAATAGTTACTGCAAATCCATGATAAAATAGTAAAAACGTTCAAATAAAATTTACTTGAATTTGTGTATCTTGATGTACAACCCTAGTAAATGCTCCATGTTCCATTGCTTTAACAACACCTTTCTCCTGTAATTCTTTTAATTTTACTTCAACAGCAGAGGGGTCCCAACCATGTTCTCTATAATAATTATCACACATTAAAATAACGATTTTTTGATATAAAGTAATTAATCAAACATTTACAGCAAAAATCTTACTTTGCTATGTCAGTCACTGTTATTGGATTTGGATAAGCAGATTCAATAAGCTCTAATACTTTTTCTAATGTCAGTTCAACCAGTTGACCAGTAACTGTTTCATCTGTTGATACTGTTAAATAAATAAGTTAAATATTACCACAATTTTTTAATATGTTACATGATTCTGCAAAATATAAATATATATGTTCATTGAAAAGTGAATTATATTTAATTAAATTTTAGATAAATTTTCAATAAATAAAATAAACTACAGCCTGTGTATTTATATATACTAAACATATGTCTATTGTATTACATATGGTGAAAAGCTACTTAAAACTTAGAATAAGGATATCACTGACACTACTAATGCCATTTATTGAATTATTGACATAAAAATTTTATATGATAGTAAGTGATCATGAATACAAGGTGAATGCTTTTTATGGATATGTTAGTGTTATATGAAATTGCAAAATAACAATATAAAAATATTGTATATAGTGCAATAAATTTATATGTGTGTGCATACATATATTAAACTGAAAATAAGTGTGATAAAAGATAAATAGAAAAATATATATAATATAACTATAAACAATAGCAATGTTTCAAACTTATTATATGATGTTTGAACATATAATATTATTTTTTATCATGAAATTCAATTAGTTCTACACTAACACTATTAGAATTAGAATTAAACAAAATAACAATCTTATGGCATTCATACTCATGCATTCACATTATAAGCATGATATTCTTGATGAATAAAATATATATATATATAGTTTGTATATATGTATACATATTTATGAGTGTGTATATGAACAGAATAATTAAATAGAATAAAAGAACTTTTCTTCCAGTCAATTAATCCATAATATATAGAAAAAATAAAAAAAATAGATTGAAATGAATAACAATAATAATCTCAATATAAATGTTTAATATTGGATTAATGCAAAAACTAAAAAACACATTGTGTTAAGCCAATGTTGTTATGGTAACTACTATATTGCATGAAGCAATAGAACACATATCTACCGGTCAATATAAAGAAAAAATAATTTTATATTTAATTACATTATTTTTTATAATACATTACATATAACCTATTTGCTTTGAATTTATTTTAATTATACAAATAGATACACACGCACGGGCGTACACGTACCCACAACGCACGCGCACATACACACACCATGTATTCATATATTTCTAATAAACTGAATAGCAATAATTATGTAATATTGTTATAAAAATTAATAAATGAAAAAATTTCATAAAGAAATCTTAAAATTTTTGACCGGCAAATATTCAGTTGTTATTATATTTTGTATAATAGCCTGCATATAAAATATTAATAAACATAAACAAATCGCAATAAAATATGCAACTTTTTCATTCTTTCCAACCTGATTTCCAACTAATTTTCTTATATGGAAGAAGTGTGAACAGTATATGACCAGTATCAGCTGTGGATAACAGAAGATTAAAAATAATATGTTTATTTCGTATAAAATGAATATATAACATGCGTAAAAAATGTAAGAAATGTATGCAAATAACATAAACAGCACAAATGTTAAGTATACATTTCCTTTAGTATCAGTTGTAATGTACACTTGAGACACACTGTTCCAATATCTTTCAATAGAGACCATTTAGTTCAATGAATCTAATCAAATAAATCTTGATACTACTCCTTACTTGGGTATTACGTTATTAAAAAAAGTATTGTGAAATAATGTAACAATTGATAAAAAGAGTTAAATAAAACAATAAATTTATATTTGAGATTAATTATTTAATATCAAAATTAACAAGTTATTATACTTATGAAAAATGATGTATGCACAAATGACATTTTTAACTAAAAAAAACTTCATTTTTTCTTGTTAACTTCTTTGTTATTAGTTATAAACAAAAAAATGTTATTTAAATATAATTGTACATTAAGTACACTAAAAAATGATATTTTACTTACATGGTCTACTTGGAAGATTAACTGGTTCTTCAAGTTGTTTTAACTCTACCTCTATCTTTTTAATAGTAGGATATTTACTTAACATTAATTTCATTATTTTCTTCATAAATCCAACATAATCTGTAACAGATTATATTATATAGTTTGCTGAAACTAGAAACATTACAATTATGTATAAAAAAGTTTCAATATATTTCATACAATTTTTTATTTACAAATTGACATTAAAATATAATACAAATTATATGTAAATCTTACTTATATTTTATTTATATTACACCAATAATTTTATACTTCTAATAGTGATGTTATTTTCCGATATACTATTATTGTTATTAATCAATATATAATGCTTTAAAATTAAAACTGGGTTATGCTTATAATAGATCAATATTCTATAATTAAACTTTGTAATTTAATTACAGACTATATATGTCCTTATAGATTCTACAATGAAAATATAAAATGAAAGTTTAAAAGGATTTTTACCTCTCGGAAATTCCTGAGGACTCACTAATTCCCTAAAGAATTCTTGTGCCACACTTGGATGTTCAGACTCTGAAAGTGTGTCTACAAACCAAAATTGAAGAGTTCTGGATTCTTGTGTATGCTTTCCACTTTGAGCACTTACTAAGAATACTCTGAATTGTAAGCAGAGATGTGCTGGATCAACTTCACCATTTGTAACTATAAAAATTTCATGATATCATTTTTTTTATATTAGTACTATTTTGATACATTAAATAATTATAGACTTTTATATACCACCAACTGCTTGTTTATTGACAACTATTCCTTTGTAATCTCCACCAGCAACGTAAACACTGTTTTCATTTCCATTTTCTGTTGGTGGTTCTAAGGTTTGCCTTTCTATTATAAGAGTTGTGGAATTTGCAGTCTTAGATTTTGGAGTCATGACAATGAGTTCTACTAAATAAAATATTTAAAGAGATGTAAATAAAAATAATTAACACTTTACAGTTATACATTAAGGAGAAATATGTAAATTTTATAGAAGCAAAAAAATATATAAAAACTAATGTAAATTCTACAAATTGTGCAAGCTGTTACCAGCTGTTTTTGTCATATATTATAGTATATATATTATTGCAAAGAAAATTCATAAGATTAAGTATTAATAGTAAATTTTATATTCAAAAAGTATATTATTAAAAAAGTTCATATCTTTAATACACTGACCTGTCTTTTTATCATTCATTTTGGATATCATTCACCTTATTTTTCGCTTATTACAAATAATATTTTTATAACACTAAATAAATAATAGATAACAAAAGGAACACTTAATTTCAACAAAACTAAGCTTCAAGCTTGAACTCGTACGCTCAACTAACAACTGTCGTTCTCTACTGCGCGACTTTTTAACCGCCTTCTTCACTATCCCACCACGGAGATCGGTGTTCGCGCCTCAAGACGAGAACTATGTATGATCTTCTTACTCTATCTAATCAACCATTCCTTGTGTAGACACAATAAACGGAGTCTTTAAAAGGTAATGCATAGTAGAAAAGATGCACAAAGTTCATTAGCACAAAAAGTAGGTGATGTTAAGTGATCGACTTGAACACTCGTCGAAACATTTATCGATCGAAATGGTGATACATGCCACCGCCCTACTCCATGCTTATATTTAAGTATGACGTGTATATTTCAATTGCGTCATTTCTGTTTTCCCAAATTGATAATACATCATAGATGCTATATTATGATGTCGTACATACATATATCTGTATGCAAACAGAGCTTCACTATTGATATTTATTAAAGACATATTAGTGTGAATATTGCATAGATAAAAATACGATACATATATATTTAATGAAAATTTCATTCCATTTCCGATTCCATTTCGATTATAATGTAATTATATATGTATATATATGTATGATAATTTTTTATATGACACTATAACTCTTATAAGTAATTCCATTGTAAATTTTCATTATTTTAATATATTAATAAACATGGTTAACTTATTCTAAATTACAAATAATACTTTATATTTCTATTTCATATGTATATCATACATGATATTGGAAAATTAATAGGAGCACAAAAGTTGAATGCATATATAAGGATGAGAAAAAATAAACATATTTAGAACAAAGTTACTAAAGTGAACTTTTACTTGATAAGTTACTATCTTCTCTATATTTATGAAAATTTGTGCAATTATTTGTTTATTAAATGTAACACATTACACAAAGTAGTTGTTTGCAATTTTATAAAATATTTTATATCTCATATGAAAATAATAGTTAAATACATTAGTACAAAAGGTTTCAATATTTTAATTTTACAATATTCTCTTAAATATTTAAAAAATATTTTTATTCATTGTAATATAATTTCATTTGCATAATATGTAAGTAAATATTGAAATTAGTAAAATAAATGATATCTTCAACTGTAATAAAGTTGTATTCAAAATAAATGTATGGAAAATAAATTTGTGTAGAAATGTTAAAATACAAATAAGAAAATTTAATATGGATAAGTAGTACGTAACAATAAATTACTGACAAAATGCCGTTACTAGTAGAAAGACCCCGTTACATAGGTTACGGCAAATTCCCAATGCTATTGTAATGCATTAGAAATGCAACCAAGTGTTATATCTTATAAATTGAGCCTTATAAACGATCAATGCATCATCACAGCAATTCTTAATATTTATTTTTATATTGGGTAGTTTATATAATATATTGTATATGTAAGTATATACATATTTAATTCATTGCACCCTTTTAATGCAATTAATATTTATTTTTAAAAAATTTAATTGATACTACATGTCTCTATCTATCTCAAACGTTAACCACAAGTTAATGATCTACTTATACGAGGAAGTCGATAGTCGATATTTTCTTCATGCAATGAAAGAAGAGTATTATCATTTCATGATTCTGTTGGATGACCAACGATCTATTGACTCTTATTGTTAGTCACTAAAAGACGTTGTTGATGAACGCAGGCCAACATCAGTCAAAACAACTTACTCATTCTTATTTTGACTAACAAGGAGAGTGCAAGTCCTTCAGGTCACCGATTTGGTTCAAACTTTGCAGGTTTGTAGATCTCGTCATGCAGTTCAAGAAAATATACCATTATAGGGGCAATTACTCAGTAGTTTTTGAGATATTTATGGTTAAAGTTTTATTACTTCCTTAACTACAGATGCATTTTCATTAATTTTAAAGTAGCGTTGTGAATCAGCGACGTTGTCCGAAAATTTTTACGCTGCAGGTCGGGGTTCGATTTCCCGTCCATAGTTTGGTAATTTTTTTTCAATCTATTTTTTATTTTGTATTCATTTTTCGCCTACGAATAAAATTTCTTAATAAAAGAAATTTATTTTTACTTTTTACCGTGGCTTTGGATGGAAACTGATTGATTGGAAAATACATTCCGATGCCTGCGAGTTTCCTTATCGGTTCTAACATAAACAATCTACCGCCAGAAACTCTCGAAACTCTTGACAGAGAACGCAAGACCGAAACAAATATAGAGGACGATTTTTCAAATGACCATAAATGTGAATTATTTGATTGAAATATAATTTTTTCAGTTATTATTCACGAATGACTCATAAATTGTTAATTGTCAATTTGAAAAGCAAAATTTATTAGTTACTACTCGTGAACAACAAAATCAATTGAATTTATTTAATATTTGCAATAATTTTTATATACTTGCATAAGAAAGTGTAAAAAATAAATTTTTTTATTAAGAAATTTTATACATAGGCGAAAAATGAATACAAAATAAAAAATAGATTCAAAAAAAATTACCAACCATTTTTGGATGGGAATCGAACCCCGAACCTAACACGGTAGAAATTTTCGGACGACGCCGCTGAGCCACAACACTACTTTAAAACTAATGGAAATGCATCTGTAGTTAAGGAAGTAATAAAACTTTAACCATAAATTCTCAAAAACTACTGAGTAATTGCCGCTATAATGGCATATTTTCTTGAACTGCATGACGAGATCTATAAACCTGCAAAGTTTGAACCAAATCGGTGACCCAAAGGACTTGCAGTCTCTTTGTAAGGACCAATTCGTTTTCACTCCTGCAGAAACTAAAAATGTATATATGCAATGTAATATGTCAACATTGTACAGTAGCAGTTCCTTCCTCATCGAACAGTAGCAAATAACGACAACCAACAGATACAGAAAGAAAAAACAAAATTAGAAATGAATCACATATACACAAAGGAATGCTCTATTAATAAGAAGTTTGATAAATTTATTCTATTAAACTAATGTGTAATAATAGTTAAAGTAAACATAAAGTTAACACAACTCGTATTAGAACTTAAAGTACTGATGTTGAACTGTTACTGAGACTTAAAGTATTTTGATTAAGATATATGTATTTTTTCCTTTTTTTTGTTATTTTTCAATGTTTTTTATTTGCTATATGTTAACGCTCATTAATAGGCGTAAGATTAAATACAATTAATGGTTATTTACTATTAGTAAACTTAATAGTAATTAAAACAACAAGTTTACATAAATGTAATATATTTTACATATTTATCCATATTAGTAATTATATTTATTTTATTACTTTCCTTAGTAAAGTCAGATTTCAAGTAATTTTTATATATAACCAATTTATCTTCATGTGCTTTATGTATTTACTAGCATAAATAATGTTATAATAGTTTTGCCTTAAAGTATAAGTTGTTACTTTAATAATATAAACAATAATAATAAACAAGCTGCATTTAAATGAGTAATAACATTTGAAATTAATCACTATAATAATTCTGACCTTATATAATTTTAAATAATAATTTTAAACTAATATTTAAGCAATATTTCAAATGTAATTGTTTGTTCAGCATATGTATTATATATGTATATTATGTTTCTTAATTTTAATATTTTAGAATTCTTTTGCTTTACCAATCCTACATCAATGATGTCTAGATCTAAGTTACAATAATTAATACCAATATCAAACAGTGCAATTTCATTATCAAATTCAGAAACTGCATTTTATTGCATGACAGATGCTTCATATTGAACAGTCATGGTTGTTTCAGCTTCAATTCTTATAAATTTAAAGGCAAGATATGATCACTGTTCAGAGTTGATGAAAAATCTGCTACAATACCACCTGTAGTATATTTAGATATTATTTTAATCTTTTCTCTGTTAGAAATATATGTTCTTACCATATACCGTTTAATAATTTCAGCCAGTATAGTTTTTTTGAAAGAACTATTAACATTTTTAGTGGCAGCAACAAATGCATAAATAGGATTGTCTGTATCAGCTTTAGACAAGTATTGTCCACTTGCTTCTGTGCTCTGATTTATGCTGCAAGTCAAATCACCTACTCTTAATTTTAATTTAATTGACAATTCACTCAAATAATGAACTCACAAAGTTATAAATGTGATATACTATTCTATTATCAATATTATTACGCTTCATTTTATCTAAGATTCCAGTTCTTGATAAAAAATACTGAGCTAATAAAAGACTCTCTTTTACTGATAGCATCGTAGTGTTACTAGTATTTTCTGGTCTAAAGTCAGTTTGAACATATTTACGTGTATATACAAATATAAAATGTTTATCATCACCTACATTGAAAATAAATTTCCAAGCTTTATCATTTGTATCTCTGCCCTGTATCACTTCTCTAGCTTCTGGGACTAATTCACATATTATTCTACAGTAGAACTCCAGAGCTAATGACTTTTTATCTGAGTCTAAGCTTAAGTCATCCATAAAGTCAACGCAATGAGTTTTAAAGGTCTCTATTAGAGTTGGCACATCTAGATCTTTATCTGCATGTTCGTCCATAAATTCTCTTAATAATGAAGTTATGAGATGTTCCATGATCCTAGTATGTGCACAGTACTTGTTAATGTCACATATTACCACATCCTGGCTTGGTGCACTTTCATATGTATCCATATTGTATTTGGATATATATCTATGATATCTGTAATATGTACCTGAAATATATATTAATATCATATATTCGTGTATTTTTAATAAACTGAATAGGATTAATTATGTAATATTATTATAAAAATTAATAAATGAAAAAATTTCATAAAGAAATCTTAAAATTTTTGATCTGCAAATATTCTATTGTTATCATATTTTGTATAATAACCTTTATATAAAATATTAATAAACATAAACAAATCACAATAAAATATGTAATTTTTTCAATGTCTCCAATCTGATTTTCAATTAATTTTCTTATACAAAAGAAGTGAGAACATTATATGACCAGTATCAACTGTGGACAACAGACATTAAAAATAATATTTATCCTATACAGAATGAATATACAACATGCGTAAAAAATGTAAAAAAATGTACATAAGTAACATAAATGGTACAAATGTAAAGTATACATTTCCTTCAGTATCAGTTGTAATGTACACTTGAGACACACTACTTTAATATCTTAGTAAAGACCATTTAGTTCAATGAATTTAATTAAATAAATCTTGATACTACTCCTTACTTGAGTATTACATTATTAAAAAAGGTATTGTGAAATAATGAAACAAATTTTTTCTTGTTAACTTCTTTGTTATTAGTTATAAACAAAAAAATGTTATTTAAATATAATTGTACATTAAGTACAATGAAAAATGATATTTTACTTACGTGGTCTACTTGGAAGATTAACTGGTTCTGCAAGTAAAATAAGTGATAATGATAACTTCAACTGTAATAAAGTTATATTTAAAATAAACGTATGGAAAATAAATTTGTGTAGAAATATTTAAATACAAATAAGAAAATTTAATATAGATAATTAGTACGTACCAATAAATTACTGACAAAATGTCATCACTAGTAGAAAGACACCGTTACATAGGTTACGGCATATTTCCAATGCTATTGTAATGCATTGGAAATGCAACCAAGTGTTATACCTTATAAATTGAGTCTTATAAACGATCAACATTTTAATGACTAAGAGTCAGTGAATCGTTGATCATCCAAAAATTCTTACCAATTAAAACAATATTACAAAATAAATAAAATATTATAAAAATGAAAATAATGAAAATAATATTAAAGTAATACGAATAATTCTATTTTTATGGTGTTTACATTTCTAATTGTTGATTATGTAATTTAATAAGGAAAGAAGTAAAAAATTATATATATTATAAATAATATATATTATATATATATTAACATATATATATTAAATATATATATATTATATATATTAACATATATATATTAAAAATTATATATTAATTTTAAGAACTAATTAAAGTAATTCTTAAAATTAATCTTTTTAACAAAAAATTGATTTTTACTATCTACGAATATTTGATATCGCGGGTATATTTATTTCTCCCTTAAATTAATTTTAAATTACTTGAATTTAATTTGTAGGAACAAATTTATAACCAGTTATCTAATCTGTCAAAACGTCAAAACAATCTATAGACTCACAATCAATCAGTTCTGACTCACGCTATGTTTGCCATATAGCATTCACTCTTATTGGAGGAGGCTAGGATGCATTCACTCACATAACTTCGTAGAGTTCGTGTCTGAAGCTGCACATTTATTTTTTATCGTTGTGTTATATTGCTGTGATAATTCGAATAGTGTGTGAAAATAATTAAATTTGGACAAACAATGATTTTTTCAAAGTATAATGTCCTGTAAGTGAAATATAATCCTGTTTTATTCTATATGTGCAACAATTTGTTTGTTTGTTGTTAATGAGGGATCAAAAGTTCAGCATCTTTTTGTACTATTTATCATATCGCGTAACTATCATATCGAGTATGTCTGAGAAACTCGATGTTAAACTTGAGGAGGATGTAGTACCAATCCGTCTTTGCTACAAAAGTGGCAATATGTACGTAGATATATGCATGTAAAATTAATTTCTTATAACAATTAACTCTGTGTTCTTGTGTGTGATCAAAAATTGTCATTCATTATACTTCTCTTTGAGAGGTATAGTTAGAGTTTTCCCTGCCCCTAGCAAGACGTAAAAAATATTAGAAGCACGGAACTTATTAAGAAACATACTCGCAATGACTACTACATTCCGAATTACAAAAATAATCGAGTTGGTTACATTAAATAGATCACCCTGTATATCATGGAATCCATAAACAATGGAAAAATGATTCCATTACGATTTGTATTATCCTTTGCATTGTATAGTCTTTCGTATTGTATACAGGGGATTTTCTAGTTATTTCGTGACTCATTCGATAATCGCTGTAACGTTAGTGCGCAATAATCAGAAATAAATAAAATTAATCTATAATAAGATAGATATCAAGTGCTATATAACAGAAATACCTAAATGTTAAATTATATCAGTGTATTACAATTACATTCTAATAGCTGTATTATAATTGCAGACCTATAGACATTTGGCCAGAAGTATCTATGAACTAACACTCATCCAGAAAGGAGGACAAATGTGCCGAATAACAACGTTCATATGAGTAAGCAAGAGTAAATGTTTCTGCAAACATAATTTTATGAAATATATCCATAATAATTTATTTATTTATTTATTTTTTAATCGTTTTCATTGAATACTGTTGAACCATACAGTCTACTATATGACAAACAATGTTACATATAACACCAGTTAAACACCTAAACACAAACAGGGGAAATATTGTGATGCTACGATGGATATGGCACTATATTAATAATGTTTATGGATATTGATCTAAAATTAAGATGGATTTGAATAAATCTAAATGTTCCAAATGTGCTGCAGAAAAGGAAGATTATAAACAATTAAGTCAGCAACAGAAAACTGTGTATGAAGATATATCCAAATTTTTGAAGGCAAAAAAGAATGGAGTTATCGTAATAGATACTTTGAGTGGAACTGGTAAAACATTTCTTTTATCCACCTTGGCTCGAAGTTATTCCAGATCGGCGAAATTCGTTATCTTCAGGAAAGATCAAGCAAGCAGAATATCATTGAACAATATTGACACGTACACTTATATATCTTTTGTTATGCATTATTTTTCTCTAACATATAAACATGCGATTCGTATGTTTCGTACGAATAGCTTGGATAACGTCGCTGAACTTTATAACTTAATCGTATACTCGAAAAAATTCGTCGATAATACATCAAAAATTATCGTCTTAGATATATACACTATACCTCCACCATCCTTGTTGATTTTACTATACATAGTGTCGCTTAAAAATCAGCTACATTTAATTTTCGCTGGGAGCAGTGTACAATTGGAAACTATCCATAAATCACCATTTCATGATGAAAGTAATTTTTTCATTATTCAGATAATGGGCGATTTAATAATAAATAATAAGTTACCGAAAAGTATACGAATATGCGATTCCGTACTTGAATATAAAATGTCACGTTTTTCTCAAATTCTTAAACAATACAAGACCGCTGGCAATGTGCCATTTCATTATAATATTCGATATGCTCTTTACTGTCTTTTTCGCTCGAAATACTTCGTCGAGGAACGTTTCGATACCATCTACATAGCCCAAACTCATAAAATAATTAAGAATCGTATGCATCGATTCATCCAATATCTGAAATCGAATGGTAAACGGTACGTCGAATCACCATTTTACTATGTGGACAAGCATGGTGTGAACATGCCCATTTCTATAACTCATAGTGGTAAATTTCTTCCCAACTTGCTGTTAGTCGAAGGATATAAATACATACATATTAACAAACGGGGAATTCACAATGTTGTACACCTGGAAAAAATAGTGTACGAGAATAATGAAGTTTGCTCTTTGAAAATACGTTTCGTGACAGACAATCGCGTCGAAAATATTCTACGAGACAAGCTTAATTATTATCAGATTTTACCAGCATATCGTACTTGGTTATTGACTAATATTGTACATACGGATGAGTTATGGCAGTTCCCTCTACGTCCATATACGCTGACTTATCACGCTGCTTTGGGACAAACTATTAACCAGGAAGAAGTGGAGTTTGATACCACCAATTGTCATCAAGCCAATTTCATATACGTTGGTCTCTGTTGCGTACGACATTATTCCGATATCTACAAGATTCATGATACACGCGACCTTCTAAGCTATGTGGTAACGGATTACATGGAAAATGTACGAAACGATAAGAGATATTATTATCGTTGTTCATCGATAGAAGTTAATGAGAATAAAATTTTTGAATATATTACTAATAACGGCCTTAACAAATACATAGATAGCATTGAGTGGAGAGATGTGCCTGATATAAAACAATTTGAAAAAATGCCTATGTATTGTTTACGAATTGAACGCAGTCTCTACGAACATTTGAATAAAAGTATTGATACACCATTGATGAAGGTCACCAGATTTATAAAGGAAAATCCGAGTGTGATACTACATACGATTAAAATGGCACCTGTTGGAGATTTCAATGTGTGTGACCATAATAAGGACATTGTTTATGTTAAAAATAAGAAGAAAAAAACAAAAGAACGAGAGAAAAGAAAAGAATCAAGTGCATTCGATTATTTAAAAAATGAATATAATCGATGGCTTGGTGAAACAGAGAATGTTTAAATATATAAATATCAATATTGATACCAAAGCTTATTTTTATAGTCTATACAAATTTTTTATACACTTATGACGTAATTGATTAAGAAGTTACTAAAAGTATGATTTGAATTAAAATTATAATTTGGTACTTTTATTTTGATTGATGTTCACGATTTGAATTGTTCACTTGTTATTAACTAAGATGCAAAAGTAATTACGATAAAAAGAAATTTTTGCACATATATATTAGTATGATCCTTACTTTTGTTGATCAAATTACTTTCTCGCTATTTGAATTATTCTAGTTAGAATTGTTCCCATTTCTAGAGAATAATACCCAGAGGCTATGTGCTTAGTCGAATGGCGGTAAAATGAACTTTGCAATCCTTTAGATTTAAATGGATTCCATACATAAAATATCTGCTTTTTTTTAAACTCTACAACAAAATTTTCTCTTCGTCTGCTCGACTTTCCTAATATCTGTTGCCAAATGAAAGGTTTTCAGAAACTTCAATTCAATTACCGCATTTTTTACTCACTTTTTTCTACTTTCTACTGAGATTAGGTTGAGATTTACTATAATTTCAAAAGGATAGTAAAATAAAATAAAAATTACCTAGGAATTTTGAGAAACATGTAAGTTATCTAACTGATATGAGTTTATAAAGAAACATAGAATTTGGATTATAGAAAATGTTAATGTACATATTAAAACAATGGTGAAATTGAGTTGTATTTAACACTTACATTGAAGGATTTTTTATTGCACCTGGCCAAGTTCATAGTTTCTAGGTATCTTTTCATAGAATGGAACAATTTCGGGAGACAATAACAGTATTGCAAATTCTACAAATAGAAAAACAGAAGTAAAGATTCAGATGCCAATGTTATTTCCAATTAAAATACTACTTTTTATTTTTTTCATAAAACATTAAGTTAATGTTATATAATTTTTTTCTTTTACATTTTATTTTTATTAAAACAAATGACAATATGCATTTAGATGAAGTTTTGTGCATCTAGAAGAAATGCTATATTTTATTTAGTTAATTGTTTTGTTTTATTTATAAGTTACATTCAGTTAAAAATATTCTTTTACTATTTTTAAGTGTTAAATGTTTAAATGATTATTATTCATGTTGGAAAATGCTTGTTATGAAGAAAGCTATAGTTTAACAGTTTATAATAAAACTAGATGTAATAAACGATTGAATTTCTTTTTGATCTTAAATTTATTATAAATATAATAATTATTTTGTTTACGAAATTTTAAAAAATATACAACATTTTTTATAAACAAGATATTTTCAGATAATAAATTGTCAAATAAAATACCAAGCTTTAATGATTACCAAAAGCCCTGCCTTAATTAATAAAATAAAAATAGCCACAGATTTTCAAGCCTTTTCGATATCGTATAATTTCAATCGTAGAAAAATTCCGCGCGCAGCAGGTAACGAAATACTTTTGTAAAACAATACCTTTTAAATCGATCGTTTTTAGACAGATAATGTCAATACCTATAGCAGTGCCATTAAAATAATAATAAATAATAAAACGATTAATTCTAACCGCAACAGCATCAGCCACAAGTGGTTCGTCAAAAGGAAGCTAGATCGTAAGTTAGGAAGCGTTGATCGTGGTTCCCAAAAGTAGAGTGGGGAGGGCACGCGTGGTCGCCGGGTGGCGTGAGTTTGACAGGATGGCAAGCGAGGGTGGCGCGCAAACGATTATAGGGAGGGAGAATGTGCCGTCAGTATTCCGCGAACCACCGACGAGGACGGTTCGTGTCTTTGTTCGTTCTTCGTTGTTTCTGCTTGTCTGTCGTCGTCGATCGTTCGCGTCGTTATTCAGTAATCGAGAACGTCGTGGATGTCCAACGTTCACTATTCGTTCTGCCAGTCAAGATTCGTGGTTCGTGAACGAAATCTTTTAGTCTTTCGTTCGTTGGAAGTAAACGTGATCAATTATGTTACCGATTAACGACTGCAGTTCGAGTAATCGTATTGGCAATGATCCTCGTTCGCGCCGGTAAACTCCGCAAGGCGGTGCTCGAGCGATGCGACCGTTGACGGGCATTCGAAACGAATTTACGCGCGATCAGCGGTTTTGCGCGACGAAGCGCCAATTACGACCTCGTTGATCTGCTCGAAACGGGTAAAACGAGACGGCGTGGCGTCTGTATCGGTAAACAGCGTAGTTGTGTCTCGCGTACGGACTGAAACGCGAGTGAGTGCTTGCTGGAGGGTGGTAAGAGAGGCGGGATGAGTGCGAGAGAAGTCACCCTTGTTGGCGGCTCCCCTTGGGGATTCCGTATGCACGGTGGGCATGACCTGCATCAACCCCTACGCATCTCTAGGGTAAGTTTATTTATTAACCGTTTCGCTAATCTCGATTAATGATGCTTTCAACGTTGCTGTATCGTGAACATTGTCCATATTTGTTTCGCGCAGTTATACAGTTTGTTGTTTCTCCGCCGTTCAATGTCATGCGTATATGCCTTGGCATTATCGTTCTCGGCCGTAGATGTATTAAGTCACGCTGTGGCGTCGAACCTTTGTAATGTTGTCATTGATAATCATTAAGCTCGAGTCGCGGCATGTTACGACGTAAACAAGGTTCATTTCGTATTTCCTGTTAAGAGCAAAAGCAGGAAATATGAGAAGTCTTAATACTCGGTAGCTGAAACACTTATTAACCTCCAAAACGGTACAAGTCTATCAATGATTATTTTAAGGAAACATTTCTTTTTCTTATTTTATTTAATATGTTATTTCTATTATTAATTTTGTTAAATAATTTTTCTTGTATTATTTCATGTTTAATGTACTATTAATTTACTATGCAATTCTTTATTCATTTTTTTTTTTATTGTTTTTGCGAATACTGTTCATACATATAATTTAATCATGTTTATGTACTTAATATTTCCTGAAAATAATTTTTACAGACTTGCTGGTTTGGGAATTATTTACAGTTACATTACGGTAGACAATTTTTTAATTAATTTATTTCTAATAGGATACTTGACGAATTAACTTAATAAATAAATTGCTTTATAAAATTTGTAAAAATTAATTTTTCATCGAGTTGCATAGAAGTTTTCACTTGTATTAATTTTAGAGATGAAGAAATTAATGGTAAAATATTCAATAACCCAAATACCGTCAAAACTTAAATTCAGTCAAATTTTTATTCTAAACAGTAAGGGAAACTTTGATGTGATATTTACATAAATAGTAGTATGTTTATTACCCTTATTTAATAGTAAGTTGATATGTTTCACGACGAAACTGAGTATGAAAAAGTATATTCTTCCTTCATCGCACTTTCTCTAAATTTAACCCCAAAATAACTGTAAAAACTTTTATCTCAAAGCGAATTGACTTTAATAAAAAATCTCCTACGTTCTCCAACCTGTATTATGTGCAACGTAATTAAGATTTATTAGACGATTTAAAGTTTGAGATGTGTTTCGAAATCTCTGCCGGCAGAAAAATATTGGCACGCAACTAGAATGCACCTTGTTATAAATATCGGATCGTGGATGGTTTCAACGTTGCCAATAGATTTTGGTACTTGGCACGAACAAATGAGAAACATCGATTTTAAGGCCATATAATTCCGCAGGATGTTCGTTACATGTACAGTCAGAATTATCGAAAGCGGTTTGGCGCTTGGTTAAATTTAATGCTTTACGTGTATACATTTTAACGTTGATTACAAATCCATTAATTAACATTGTTAGCCTTTCTTATTCTTTTAGCGTTTCTTGAGGTTAATGCAACAAACGTAAATTTTATATAAGAGATACTTCATATGATTATACACTATTATTATTTCTTTAGAATCAAAAAAGTTAAATTGTTTATTTCTTTTAATAATTACAATAATCTTAATTTATTTCTATTAATAATATATTTTTGACATAAATGAAATGCAAAAATTGTTTCCGTTGTGATAATAAATTTACAAAATGTTGCGTTTATACAACTTTGGGTTATATGGCTGTCGTGCGTCGAGCCATTTTCGATCGTGCAATTTTACAAATTTTTATTTACAAATACAGGACCACGTATTTGCGTAAAATATGATGTTTTTAATTTAAGGTGGTTTAATTCTACCAGTTTCAAAATTAAAAAATCTCGTCATATAATACATAGATCTGTAAAAAGAAATGTAAGGTATAGTAGTAATGGTAAATAATAAACATAGTAATGTAGCATAAAAATAGCAAATAACGAGTACTATAAAAATGAGGTTAAATTATTATAATCCGAACGAAATTATGGATAAATATATCTATGTTCCTTGTTTTCAAGATTACGCTTATTTAGCAGACGTTGAATGGTTTTTGAAGGAAGTTGCTCGCGTAAAGGCTTCTTCCGCTTGTGTCTAATTTGAATAACTTACTCGAAGAGCATGTAATATCACACTTTGCAGTATTATGTTATGTTATCTTCAGCACGTGCTAAGTTAAAAGAGAATCACGATGGAACAAAGTACACGCGATACTAACGAAAGCGGTCTTAAAACGCTAGAGGTCGGTATTAACATTAATTTACATATCGCGTATCAAAAGCTTTTAAATGTTACGTTTCATTTGTCACTGAAGCTTTATTCCCAGCTTTATCATAATTTCTCATCGGAAAGTGCTCCTAACAATATAACAACGGGATTAATAAACTTTGTACTGAGTTTAACTAACAACACTGCAGGCACTGTAAAATTAAATCGCCAGTTTTAGAACGTCGTAATGAAAACAGAAATTATCAAAAAACATAATTAAATTATAATTTTAAATTGTAGAGCATTCTTCTTAATTTCGTGATTAATAAAAAGCATTAATTTCAACCTAGTTGTACGATCGAGTTTAATAATTTCATATTTCTACGACGAATGTGCCTTGTACCACTGCATAATCAAATTAGTTTATAATGTATTGAAATTAATTCAGCTTATTTAAATATCTTTATATAAGAATTTGTGAATTGCTTCGTGAAAAATTTCGAGCTACGATAAGTTTTGTGTTCTAATTAATGAAAAATTTTAGTAAATTCGAATAACATTTAAAAGTATCAACAGCTTGAAAGTTTTAAAGGAACAAAAGTTGACGTTGGTAAAGAACGAAGAAATCGTGTCTTTAGACGATCGAGACTTGTTTCATTAAATCTATTTACCCTTTATAAAATGGCGACTTGGTCTTCAGCGCGATTGTCGTGTGCTCAGCTGATACAGTTTAATTACATCTAATGCGTACATTCGACGTGGCTATTTTCAATATTCCAATTCGATTCGATTGAATTTCACGTTCGAAAGACTTCAGGCATTCTTGACGTTTCGTGAATTTCGATTCAATCCAACTCCGTTCACAACGATTTGCGACAATGGAAAGTGGATAAACGTCCATCTAGATATCTCTGTCCTTCGTCAATAAAAATTCTATTTTTATTTCTTTTAGTTTCGAATTCCCTGTCATTCGTCTCAGAGAGTCTTTTCGAAATCTTGCTGCGATCGGAAAACGTATATTTATAACGTAAATAAAAGTATTCAGAAGATATTGCGCGAAAGCTTTTCACGTGAGAATATCGAATATTTATTAGTTAACCATAACCTATTTTTAAAAGTTCAAGTTTATGTAGCTTTGATATTGCGCTTATTTTATAGATTTGATATTGCGTTAATTTTATTCATTTCTGTTTTATTTTGTCTCATGGCAATTTTCCTATAGAAAGAGCGAATAAAGATGTAAAGTACTTGTAAAAATAAAAGTAAATTATACAAACAAAAATTTTTAATTATTTTTCAATTCCTTGAATGTTTCGTTAACAAATATTCAAATTAAATTAAAAGATTGAAATTTTTGTCAGCTACAATTTCATTTCATTCTAGTTTACTGTATAGCAATAAGTATTTAAAATGTGTAATATAAAAATAGATCATATTCGTTGACACGTATATTTTACGATAATTATTTCATCGTGATTATGCCAAGATAGTATGGCGAGAATATTTTAATTACTATACAAAGATAACAGAGGATACAGTAATGTCGTTATAAATTTAGTCTTGGAATTTTTGAAGGCTTTTTCACGACTTGAAGCTCTTGAGTTCACGAGTGTTCATTTCTTCGAGCAGCTCTTTCACCAAAGTTTGGATAATGAATTTAAAAATATCTTTTAATTATAGCACTTGAAAATTATTTTATATCGCGCCGTTAATTAAAAATCTTCCTCCACGTCTTTAATATAGAGTATTTTAGACTTCGAGCATTTGAAGCTTTCGATATTAACTCTTTATGCAGGTTTATGTATCGAAAGTTCCTATATTTAGTTTTAGTACTGTACCATTGTTTCTTCATTGAACAATCCATCCACAGTCGTCGTTAGATTTTCTATTAGAATGGAAAATTGCAGTAAATCCTAATTTTTTCTCTCATAAAAAAAGAATTCGATTATGGGGAATTAGTCGTACCTAGATTTTATAGAATATTCGTGAGTGTAGTCTCATTGGACATTTAACTTTTATGAGATGTACAGCTTTTGAATCAGTGAATATTTTATTGACGATCAGTTTTAATAAAATAATTCAAAAATCCTCGAGTTTATTTAAAAAGACATTATCAATAAATTATTAAAAAATTACAATAATATGTACGTTTGAGTAGCTAATATTAAAATATGTAACAGATGTATTGTTGATTAGTTAGATTATTCGTAAACGAGGTTACGTAGTCTACACATTTTTAATCAATGGAAAAGGTATTAGTTCGAAATTTTGAATTTTTCAAATGTTTCTTAATAATTTAATAAAATTTATTATAATAATATGAGAAAGTGATGAGATTCGCGTAAAAAAATTTAGTTTGTCTACCAGTCCGAGCAGATTTGAGACTTTCACATTTGATCTTAAACATTGGGTCATAGGTGACCACAACGAGTCCGGTTAGGTTACTTAATTTCGAAACGAAGTAACACAAACCAAATAGCTGCGACCATCTGTGACTAGTTGAGAGTTAAAAAACAGTGAATTCTATTTTTATTTATTTAATAGCCACTCGCATTCTGTGTATTTCTGTGCAAAACTGTCACGTTTCGCGGGTCACACGTCGGTTTATATAGCGTTTCATATTATAGTGAAACTGCCACGTGTTACTACTTTCACACGCGTATTTTAATCGTAGCCGTGAATTTGTATCCTACTTATCCATGAATAAATTTTTCGAATTTGTCTCGACGATATAATATATTTGATTTACTCCTATCGACGTACTTCAATGCTATAACATAATTGCTTCCATTGTTAATCGTGTACCGTGCTCGAGGTGACTCAATTTTTATACATATGGGACAAATTGAAC